ATAAAATATATCATGTACGTACTTACTGTTATAGACAGAAAAGGTAGAGATGTGTGAAATAAATGAGCCAGGAGTCTTGTTCCCTTTCTTCCCCTCAACTTTGGGGATTCAGAGCAACACATTGAGTTTTCCCTTAGGGTTCTGTCTTTATAGATAGATAAAATCGCAGGACCAAGAGTTCATTTCCATTCATTTGCATGTAATCTACATACAGCAGTACAGATTACATTGTGTCTCCTGGTGTTTTCAGAGAAGTTATTTTCTTTTTCTTTTTTTCCCCCTTAAACTTTGTCAAGATATTCTAAAGCATAAATGACATCTGGGGAAAGAAGAGAGCAAAAACAAAAAAAGTAATGGTACAAATGCCTCTGTTTTCATAGTACTTTTAGTTTTCACATTTTCCAGAGACAGAAGTACATTGGGATAAAAATTCAGAAATGCTATTAAATCAATTGTTGAGAGAACAATGCTCTGTTTCTTTTCTCCTTAATTGTAACAGCAGTTCACCCGATCTGAATTGTTTGGTACAATGCCCCTTATCTCTATATTTTTATGTTGGTTGTGTAAAAAAGATGGGTGTTTGGTATAAAAGTGTGCTGTGGCTTCATGGGAAAATTATACAAGTTAGTCTTCCATTGAGCTGACACTGGTAGTGGGACCCAGATTTAAATTAAATTCGTATTAAGTGAAATGGATGGTCATATGGAAAAATGCTGTGACCTGGTTTTGTAATAAGAAACGGGAAGAGAGCTTGAATTTGCATGTATCTTTTTTTTTTGGTAGACAGTGATGGGAAAATTCTTGTAAAAAAGTTTATGCGTCACAAAATTTCACAATTTACTTTAAAAAGGCTATTCTGAGGAAATAAGATTTTTCTGTGTTCCTAAACACAGAGCTAATATTGCTTCAGCCTAATACATGCGAACCAAAGGGGGAAAATAAGAAACGAAAGAGATTAGACAAGTAATACACTCTACAGCAGAAACTTTTAACACCTTAAAAGAAAAAAAAGTTTAAAAAGGAATCTGTTTAAGTATTTTAATGTATTTATTATAGTAAATATCAAAATTTATAAAGCCATACTATATATTTCAAAGTTTATTTTGTAACATCAGTGCCTCTTGGCATTAGCATTGTGGGGTGTTCAGTCAGACATGAACTTCACATCCCCCAAAAAAGATGTATGAGGTGTGGTACTATTAAAACATCAACTGCATTATTTAAATTCCCTAGAGACTAATGTTGCAAATATTTTAATAGAAGTAAATATTTTTACTGAATAGGTTTGTATTCTATCAAGTCAGAACAAGTTGGACAGAAAGGATGCAGGGGTCTCCAGACAGTCCTGAAAAGGCATGGGTTTGGAGTGGTTGAAGAGAAAATCATCATGTGGCTCCTTGGTTCCATGTGATTGGGATGGAAAAAAATTCCTTTCTGTGCATAGCAGACAAGACCTACTTAAAACACACACACACACACACACACACACACACACACACACGCTTTAAAAAATTATATTGTCTTTCTTGGCATTTAAATGATCAAGACTGATGAAAGTGGTAATTAGGGGGACTCACTGAACATCTGGAAAGTGATTTGAAAAAACATAGAGGCAGCTGTGCCACCCTGTTCTAAATGATTATTTGCTGAGCATCAAGTGAGGAGTGGTTATTGCAGGGTATGAAATGTTTGCTGTCTTTGGCCTGAGTTGAGTTGAACAGCTGCTTTCTTCCTCATGAGCAACAGATATTTCCCAGGCCCTCAAATATTTGGGGAGTTCCGAGTGATTGGGAGTGAGGGATAGGGAATGAAACTGTTTCACTATTAGGAAAAAAAGTTTGACCAGAAGCCTAGAAACTTTAGAAGTGAAGTGAACAGCTGGCTTTGAAGGTGTCCCAGGATGTATGAGAGAGGAGAGAGAAAGGAAAGAAAGCCATTTGAACAAAGCTGTATAAATTATCATTTTTATAATTTTTTCAGGTGGCCTTGATTAGTCCGAGAAAGTAGTAGTTGGTGGCCGAGGCAGTGGTGGTCTGGAGCCCTTGCCTCGCTGGGCACTTTGCTGTCATAGTCCTGGTCGTTGGCTGGAACAGATGCTCCCATGGGAGCAGCCCTTCCGCCCTCA